TATGGCAAATGTATGAGCAAAAGATTTTTTTGTGTATTTTCTTAGATTAATTTCAAAGCTTGATGATGTAAGAAGAAATTTATAGATTCAGTGCATAAGTATGGGCTCAGTGTTGAGGCCCCGTGTTCTTCCTAGATGTTTGATTTTGATCTTTGATTGACATTGTCTGAGATACACATTTAAAAAACATCATATTGACGACAGTGCGCAATCTACCAATGCCCCTCCGATGCCTAAGTAAGACTTTTAATGATGATAGTCATATCAATAGGAATTTAAGTTCGGGTTTTGAGAGGAGGGTTTCATAGACGAAGGTTAGGTGCTAAGTTGTGCTCGAGATGAATGATCCATTTGCATGAGTTTAGGATGGCGTGTTTGTACTAATTGCCTAGGCTAATCAGATGCTACACGCATCACCATCCTGACGACGGATATTGTTATGGTAGTTACTTGGCTTGCAAGTAAGTTAATGTGGTAGGATCTTATTAGCATATGATGGTTCTGCTGACATATGTGTAGATCAAGAAGTTGTGGAATTTGACAATTAGAGAGATTGGGCATTCGATTGATATCTCCTAACATGTCACACTGAGAATGTGACACGATTCAAATCAACCACCTCTAATTAGGCAAACTGCCATATAATCAGGTTGGATTGATATTAGGGATGGTAACCGAGATGAGGTGAGTCCATTTGTCATGGACTGTTATCACAATATTTGGGATTTTTTGGATCAGGTCCATGAGCCTGGCCAAGTGATGAGCTGAGTGCGGATGTGCCACACCAATTTTGAAATAGCGATAACGCATAGCGTAACGCTCACAGCTGGTTAACGTAAAATGCAAAATAGTAACTCTTAATGTAGGTTAAATAATTTATTATTATTTAAATATTTTATAGATACATAATATTCAAAATCAAATAATATGAATAATCATCATAGTTTTTGAACATATCATCATAAAAATACTATCACAAATTAATATATCATAACAATTTCAAAACAAAATCAACCATGTATGCCTTAACGATCATTCCAGAAGCATAGTCGTTAAAAAATATACATCATACATTATCACAGTAAGTTCTAGTAGGTAATAGAACATCATAAATCTAAAAACATCTAATAGCAATCCAAGTTTTTATTACTTCTAAATCTGATTAATTAGAAAAAAAAGTAATTAGTAATTCTTTGATCTCTTTTTAATGTTTTCAGTGCAAAATCTAATTAATTTGAAAAAACTCAATCACATCCATCAAAATTCTTTTAAAAATCAATCCCATCCCTTGAATATTTTAACCTAAGCTATGAAGCGCTATGAAGACGCATTACAAAGCATACGCAATGGGTAAAATAGCGTACGTTATTTTATTTCTATGCTATTTTCCAGTGCTACGTAGCGATACAGTAGCGCTATATTACGCTATGCACAATTTTGCGCTACATAACACGTTATTTTGTACACTATGCCACACTTTAGCAAGTTGAAATAAGTTACCTGATTGACTAGGTTGCTTGCTGAATGACATCTAGCTTATCCCAATTGCAAAAGCTAAATTATGATCTCTCGAATAGAGATGAAAATCCTAGTTGAGTGAGGGTTACCTTGTTTTTCAGATACCTTCATATAGGACTTTACCTCTACAAACTCGGATTTGTGGTTGCTGGAAAAATATAAGTTATAATTTATGAAACATGACACAATGAACAATGGACACTATTGTATCCTTGTATGTAAATGCAATTATACACAACCTTGTTAGAAGAGAAAAATTACTAGATTAGTATATTTTGTTAATACTATGTGACAGATTGGTTTATTTTATTACTCTGATGACAATTTTGTGTATTATGTGGACTACGGCGATAAATTAGCCTATATTTTGGTCGGAGTCAAAATTCTGACCAAATTGGGTCACATGTCTCCTCACAAGCAGCCGACATGGATTAAGTCGGCTTATGTGGAAGGGTAGCGGTTGTGAAAGAAAAAACCTCAATCCCCCCCCTAAAAAAACCCCCCAAATTCTCTATTTTCATTTTTTTCTCTGTTCATGAGAGCGAGAGGGTGAACCTTCAAAAATTTGTAGAAATTACCCTTGTGCATAGAGATAGGAACATCTGAGGCTTGGTTTCTTCCATCTACACTGAGGTGTAAGAAAGAATTAGGGTTATTTCGCCGGCTATAGTGAGGCGCAAAAGGTGAGTTCAAAAATTCAAAATTTTAAAAATAATTTGAGGAATTAGATGGTTAAAAAGGATGATTAGTGTTATTTAATGGGTTCAGAATCTTGATTTGTCTACAATATGGTTGATTTGTGTAAATTAGGGCTTTTTATCCCATTGAGCCCTTAGCTCGCTTCTTCCCATGCACGTACTTGAGCCTGACCTCCTTGAACAAGAGCTTGCGGATAAAGAGTCCATCTCCAATTTCAGTTGCCCTAGTCAATTTAATACTAGGAGAAAGAAGAACCAAAACCATTGGTCCATTAGTTTGCTTCTTCCCATGCGCATACTTACACCTGACCTTGAGCAAGATCTTGCGGATAAAGAATCCATCTCTAATTTCAATTGTTCTAGTCAATTTAATGCTAGGAGAAAGAAGAAATAAAAATTCCCCATTTAAATCCTAACTTTTGAGCCCTAATGTTAGAAAAAATTTCTTTCAACAATTTGAATGATCCCAATTACTACCACGTTGGCAGTCATGTAGGCCCACATGTGAGGATCTTGTGACTCAATTTGACCGAAATTTTGGCTCCAGCTAAAATATAGACTCATTTGTCACCGTAGTCTACATAATATACTAACTTATCGCTGGAGTAAGAAATATACCAATCTATCTGATTGGGTCAACAAAATACACAAATCTAGTAATTTTGCCCTGTTGGAAGCTACCGAAGGAAACAAAACTAAGGGACTGTTTGGATTAGTAGGGGGTGAAGGGAAGTTAAGGGAAACTAAGTGAAGGGAAGGGAAGGGAAGGGAAGGGAAGGGAAGGGAAGGGAATTCTCTTCCCCTTGGTTACACCCCAATTTAGGGGTAACAATTTTTATACTATTAGGGGGTGAACCAAGGGGAACTAGGGTGAATTAACTTCACCTCCTAAGTGTTCCCAAACAAGGTGAATGGAGGTGAATGATTCCCCTAACTTCCCTTCACCCTCAGTGAATGGAGGTGAATGATTCCCCTAACTTCCCTTCACCCTCATTCCCCTCAATCCAAACAAGCCCTAACTCAAAGTCCACATCTACCGATGGATATAGCGTTAGCCCATTTTAAATTGAGTTTTTACATCAAAATCACCTAAAATTTTGCCCAAATTGATGGTTATCACCTACATTTTTTTGACGAAAACCACCTAAAATTGCTTACATGCTTTCAATCTCACACCAATCTATGTTTTTTATTGTTATCACCTAAACTTTTATATCTCTTATGGTTACCACCTTACAAAACACAACTTGATATGTCTACCATCTCACCTTTATAAACTTTTGACCTAAACCACCTTCTATGTTAAGAAAATCACAATTACCACAAAAAATTTGAAATATGTACCAAACATAACCACACACGAGACATTAGCTACAAAAAATAGGTGGTTATGATGTGATAAAAAAACCATAGATTGATGCGACATTGAAAGCATGTAAGCGATTTTATATGGTTTTCGTCAAAAAAGAAGTAGGTGGTAACCATCAATTTGGACAAAAGTTTAAATGATTTTGATGTAAAAACCCTTTTAAATTACTGCGGTTTGTCGGAAGGAAAGAGAGAGCGAGAGGGGGAGAGAGGAGAGCGAGAGAGGGAATTTTGATACCGAACTTTATAGTCTGGATTTTGGCGTATTCTGCCCCCTAAACCTCCTCAACCTTAACCTGCTCTCTCCATTCACTGCTCAAATAAATATAACGTTCAACTCACTTCTGCATCATGACTCAGTAACACTTTTACTTAGGGCCCGTTTGGATAATAGAAGTATTAGAAGTAAGAAGTAGGTTATAGAAGTAACTTTCAAAGCTATGAAGTAGGAAGTAGTGGAAATAGCATTTTTTTTGTTTGTTTCATATATTTTTAGAAGTAATAGAAGTAGAACTTCTTCCTCTTCTGGAAATAGCATTTTTTTTGTTTGTTTCATATATTTTTAGAAGTAATAGAAGTAGAACTTCTTCCTCTTTATTTACTTTTTCATTTGGATAACATTTGGAAATATTACTAGGAAGTAATTTTATCAATGAAAAGTTGTTAGAAATAACTAATAAAGAAAATATTAATAAAAAAATTATTTATGTCCTAATTAATATGCATTTCAACTACTTCCGAGCTACTTCTGAGTATTGAGGATTGGAAAAATATTTTGAAAGTAAGGATGACACATAGGCGCCACATAAGCATTTAGGGAAGTATTGGAAGTAAGTTTTTCAGAGAACCAAACATACTTTTTTGCTTGGAAGTAGCAGAAGTAGCTTTTACTTCTTTTACTTCAACTACTTCACAATTACTTCCGTGCAAACAAACAAGTCCGTAATCTGGTTTAAGAGAACAACTTAATAATAATTCCACTCGATTATTAAAAAAAGAACAAATTTTCACAACCAACCCTTTTGCAAAAATATTCCCTAAAAATGATTTGTTTCAACTTTAATTATCAAAACCGACCTAGTTTTAGCCTCAGGGCTGAAACACTGAAACTAGGTCGGTTTTGACGAAAAAAGTTCCTAAACTTCACGGGAGTTGAAATCCCGTGAAGTTTTTTACATAACAAAACTTCACGGGACTTCAACTTCTGTGAAGTTTTGTTATGTAAAAAACTTCACGGGAGTTCAACTCCCGTGAAGTTTAGGAACTCTTTTTGTCAAAACCGATCCAGTTTCAGCCATGAAACTGGATCGGCTTTGATAATTAAAATTGAAACATTCGTTTTTTAAAAATTAGTTTCAAAAAGGGTTTGTTTTGAAAATTTGTCCAAAAAAAATAAATAAATCCCCAATTACTTACGCCACCTTCTCGCTCGAATTATTCTCTGTAGCTCTTCTTGATCTCTTTCTTCTCTCAATGGACGATGCCAAGGAGAACGCCGCCATCGAAAGGTCGGCCACCGGCGAAAGCCCTAACCCTAGCGCCCCATCAGCGCCGGGATCCGCATCGGACGCTGAGAACCCTAAACCTAATCCTTCTTCAAGAACGCCGTTTACGAGCCTAGGCCAGTTAGACGCCGACCTTGCCCTTGCCCGCGCCCTCCAAGAGCAGGTAAGACTAGGGCCAGGGTTTTGATTCGTCGTGATCTTTTGCAAGGTTGGGATTTTTTTGTCATATTACACCCTAAATTCTTTCTTAATTTTATATTATATTATTTCCCCCCAGATCTTCTATTTCCTTGGTTAGTGATACCATGGTAACAATTATGGACGGAATGCAATCAGGAGGGGTCACTTAAAAAACGTAATAGATTTGGGATCCAATGTACAATCAAGAAAGAACATGGGGGCTAATTTGACAAAAACCCTTTTTCCTGAGGTTCTTGATCGTAGATTGGTTTGGTTGCAGGAGAGGGCGTACATGATGCTGAGGATGGAGGGCAGAGACGGTGGCGGAAGTGGGAGCTCTGAATCTGGAAGCTATGTGTACGAGGATGAATTTGAAGGTGATGAGGATTATGGTGGTGCCGATGAGGATAATGGAAGCACTGAAGGAAGCGATTATGGGGAGGATGCCTTTGATGTTAACGAGGAAGAGCTTAACCCTGCAGATTTTGAGAGTGACGAGGCATTTGCAAGGGCGCTGCAGGATGCAGAGGAGAGAGAAGTGGCTGTTAGGTTGATGGGAGTGACTGGATTAAATGACTGTGAGAAAGATTTTAGTTTCAATATTTCAAGAAACCGAGTTGGAAGCTATCTTTCTTCATGATCTTGATTTAATTTTGTTTTATGTTTACAGGGGTAGGGGTA